GGTCAGTCCATCATGATAAAACTTACCTGTAATTACATGTAACTATTGTATTCATTACCATTTGAAATCGAGTTATTCCCTTTCCCTTAAAATCTCTTCCTATAAATCTAAGAAATTTTTACGCCCCTATTTTTAGAACTGTATATGATTTTTTTTGTTAAAATGTATGAGAACTTAAGTAAAAGTACAACTGAACTATGTTATATGCTGTGTCCTGTGACTTTGAAAGTAACTGTTGAATATATATATCGTTTTATTCGTGCATTAAAAACAGTAAAGAACAAAATATCAGCCGTTCTAAATATTTACTGAAGTATAGAATACATGATGGATGGATCTTTTTAGTCTTCCTATACATATAGTAGAAGAACCAATTCAAGCACCAATTAAGTATCATTCTTTTATTTCAATAACTAATGGATGGATCACATTTTATTCGCAGATATTATTTCATATCGAGTAAAAAGTTATTTTGACATGAATATTGAATAATTATTTCTGGCCATTAATATTAATAAAAGAAATCTGCCTAAAAAATCACTGAATAATGTAGAGAAGCGCATAAGTTGATTTTTGGGAATTCATTAGTATTTACGTGACGTGTCTTTGAAGTATGATAGAAATCGGAAAATATAGTTCTATGATAGTTCGAACAGGAATCTAAGGCATATGCTTCACTCGTTTTTAATATCTCATAGCTAAATATAATTCTAATCCCTTGATTAATAGCATTCTTATCCAAAAATGAATTTAGAAAACATAGGTAGAAATACTAGTTCTCTTCTAATAGAGAGTATTTTCTATTTTAGTTTCTTATCTGCTTTCGATGATTTTTTTTAAACTTAATTGATTACGTTGTTTCCCATGTATGAACTCTTTGTAGAAATGGCTCGGTGTTATTGTCTCAGGCACCCTTAAATTTGTTTATCTCATCCATAAATTTAAGGCGGTCAACTCAAATTACCGTTGTAAAATTTAGTAAAGCTTTACAAAGGGTATATGATTATTTTCAAAATGGTTCTTAATTAGAAATGTCAGTCAGATATTGCAGTGCTACTTGGAAATATTTTGTTTGATATAATCGTTATTTCATGAAATAAATGAATTAATCCCATTTGATACTAGTCAGTTATCAATGACGAAGGACTTGGTACAGATGTGCTTCTATCCAATTTTCCACACCATACATCAGTACAGGGACGGGAGGTTTAATAAAATAGTGGACAATATGTGCTCAAATAAATAATATTCAACTGTAGATTACGATCATTTTGCTGACTCAACTTAGATAGCCATCACCCTTTTTGATAAGATGTTGATCAACAGTTAAGGACTTTATGAACTGACAATGTTTTACTTCAGCCGCTCCTGTCCTTCTTTCGCAACACACTTCTATATCATCTAGTATAGTAAGCGGCGATTGAATAAGTAAACGATATAAAAAAAGTACATATCAATTAAACTAACCTCATTCAAATGAATCCTCTCCAAAACACTATTTGGACTAGTATCTTCCGATGAATTTAATAGGTAATTTTCTAAATTCGATATTAAAAAAGTATCGTTATTATTAATGTGATTATTATTACTACGATTATATGTATTTCTTTGATGAAATGAAGTGGGTAGAAATTTCATTTCAGGTATTGAATTCCCATTTTCATGTAAATTCATATTAAGATAATCATTGTGATCGGAAATATTCGATTCATTCATTGTTATATAACCGGTTTGTTTAGTTGTGTTTATATCAATATTCATTGGTAAAAAACTTCTAAATGCACTCATGTTTGATGAATTCGATGCATCAAAACGCTGTAATTAAAACAGAAAAGATCCAATTTAACATTTACAAGAGAGCGCCAATATATATGTGTATATGTGTTTTGGTCCGAGCTGCTCTATCATATTAGCGCAGAGCGATAAGATTATCAAGTCAAACGGTAGAGTACTAGTAGTAGTAACAGTTTCAATGAAAGTATATATATATATATATATATATATATATATATATATATATATATATATACTTTCATTGAAACTGTTACTACTACTAGTACTCTACCGTTTGACTTGATAATCTTATCGCTCTGCGCTAATATGATAGAGCACCTCGGACCAAAACACATATACGCCATATTTTACATTGTTTATGACTGACTACTGACTTTAGTAAATAATGATGAAGCTATGCTCAAAAATAAGCGATACTGTATTAGTGTGATATTCAAGGAAGTGTCATAGTTACGTAGATCATCGTATAATTAAATATCTGACTTATTCATACTACTAAACATCACTGATGATTTTTATTTTTTATGATAAATATCAGTCAAAATACTGTATATCACCCAAATAGCATATAATCAGATATTAGTCGTGTATTTGAGTATAAATCAAATGACAGCTTAGTTGTTAAATTTTTCACCTTTCCATGCGTCAGTCCCAGGTTTCAATCCCATCTAGGTTTAGGGAACAGTTCAGTTCGGCGCGAAGTTCACAAAGCTGTCTATGGCAAATTAGTTACTTAGATTAATTATTACTCAATATGAAGAATCGTAAAACAATATACCTTTTTAGGTTTGAGATAGATTAAATAACGATTAGTAAATATACATATCACTGAACTGTATATTTTTAGAAGAAAACAGATTCCCAATACGCTCAGCTCGTAAACTTATAAACTTCTATAATTTATTGTTTATAATATTGACATCATTACGCAGTAACGTTAGACATATTCCGTACATAGTCATGATATCTTAATCACAAATTGAAAACCATACTATTTATATTAAAAAAATAATTAATAATACAGTGAATGCTTTAACTGTCATTATTATTTACCTGGTTATTTGTTAAAAAGTTGGTCAGAACACTATCGTTTGATAAGAAATTCTCATTAGCTGTAATAGTTTGTTGTACAGTTGCTGGGGAAAGAATACGAGTAGGTGTACGTTTTGGATGACTTTTCAACTTAGTTGAACCAAATTTAGTTTGAGCAAAAGTAGCCGCTGTAAAACTTGGAGTAGATGTAGATTTTTGAACGAATGGATGTGATGAATTAAGAGGTTGTATGTATGTTGGATATGATTTCGGTAATGGATTTGTAAACATTTGATTGAATGGTTGATCAGATTTCGAGCACAGAACATTTAAATTCTCAAAATTTGCTGACAGTGCAATAGATTCTTTACCATGAGTTGTTGTTAACTGACCTGAATGAGGAGGATTAGAGGAGGAACGATGAAATGAATGGAATGTATTTGTTTTGGCATTGAAAATAACAGACTGAGTTGTTGATGGTGTTCCGCCAATCGGATCATTACCTGTTATAGATAAAAAAGATTCTTTCACGTTTTCAGAAACACCCCATGGAAAAGTATTCATTGTTTTTGACATTTCTTTCTCATGATACATTTCAGCTTGTAGGGGATTTATAGATTTTAAATCAACTTCATTTGGTTCAGTCCTAGAAGGTTCTTCCTGATTTATTACAGATGTACTGATTACAGAAGATTCATTGTTCCAGTTTGAATGGTTCAAAGCTAAGGAGTTTACTCCATACATTGTATTACTCTCAAATTTGGTGTCGATTCCTTCGTCAGGTTCAACTAACACACTCAAAGCAGCAGCTGTAGACAGTAAATCGCCATGATCATTTTCGAAACGTCTAAGTTTTGTTAGAAACTGACCTCGTTTACTTCCATCTAACATATTTGTATTGTTTGTAATCCATCCACCTTGTAAACTGTAAAGAACTTGGTGAGTAATCTGAGATGAATTTGTTAAGTTGGATGATGAGATAGAAGATGCAGAAGAACATCCAGATGATGATAAGGAAATTGGTGATGATGGCCAATGGTTCGAAAGGAATCTGTCATGACCTGTACAGTTAGACTGGGTGTATTGGCACACCACATGTCCTGGATCCACACTTATAATGAGACCTTCTGGAAGACATGTTTCTATTTCACTCCATTCTAACCCACTCACAGCTGCTGCTTCAGGAAGTAGAAGATCTACCTGAGGACCGACAGAATTAATGCACCGATAAGCAGAATCTCTAAGTGGGTCACTAGGGTACCAATGGTGTTGGAATTTGGCTAGAAGATACTTTTCAAGTTCTTCACCGAAACTATCAACTCGACGTCTTGGAAGCTTTGTGTATAAATGTGATAATATATAATTTACTGCGACAGTTATTTCCACAAACATCGGGATATGGAAATATTGAAGTTTTAAATTCAGTTGCTTATCGAATGTATTCCTTTATAATAATTTTATTCTAAAATATCTATAGAAGTTATAAAAATGTATTTTTAATTTATGGTAATGTAACAATGGAAATTTGTGATCACAGAAAAAAAAATCAAGTAAAGTTAATGCATCTCGGTACCAATATGCCACTTACATGAAAAATTTTCTAATAAATTTCAAAAAATATATCACATATCAAGCATTAAAAACTACACAAATCCAGTTTAAGACATCAAACTGATTCGTGGACAGCTGATGTAAAACTATCGATTTATTGAAATATATTTAAACGTAGGTTTATGGGAAATAATCAATTTGTTAACAAATACTCACATCTTGTAAAATAGATACATTACTGATAGGGTTGTAAATTCAAAGTATGAGATTATTTCATTCAACCACAGCTGACAAGATTTACTAGGTAGAAATGTTCGTAACACATACCTACATCATCTCTTGATTGTCTTCCCTAAAATTCTCAGCACGGCATCTGACTGACCAGAGTGGAAATTATCCCTGTCTACATATAAGTTCTCATTGGTTTAAATTAATGTGCATTCTAGCCTACTTCTCAAGGTCAACAGTCGTGCCCAAGAAAGATGTGTCTTTACGTTTGTATCCATATCATGACATCTTGATTCTCTCACCCCCATAGTAAATGTGGGAAGGTATAAATTAAAACTAACCAATTTCTGACAGGCAATAGGCAGATCTTTCTGAGAATAAACTTGACGTCACTAATGTACACTGACAGCTACAACTTGTTCGACCTTATTTCTAATCCTGTTTCTATAACTTTTGAAGATACAAGAAGTCTATTTTCTGAGACACTAAATTACAAATGTTTTTTTGTCACAGAAGATTATCAGTATTTGTGTGAAAAAGGTCGTGATTTTTCCCTAATTCCTGGGTATGTATTACGAATATAAACATTTTTGTTTGAATATTAGAATAAAAAGTGACCAATTGAACAGCTATGATGTTCATTAATTGTTCAAACCTAGATACCACGAGTGTTTTGTCAAACAACACGCTGTTAACCGTAGTCAAATAGGCCAAAATCAGAATATCTGACTCATTTCAAGACAATTATATCTTAGTTACTTAACAAAATTCTGAATTTTCTGTGGCGACATAAAACTAAAAAAAAATAGCCACACCGAATAAATACCATCTGAGCAGAAATATTTTTTCGTTCTGCAAAGAAGATCATGTGCAGTTATAATGAGTTGATTATTTATTCGGATGTAAGCCATAGTGGTGTTTTATTCATGTTTTGGATAGTAATTTGTAGGGTACAGATTGCTGTACTCAGCTAACTAAAAATATCTCAAGAAAATACTCGTGAACAAACAGCAAACATCAATTCCTAAATGTTAGCTTTTAATAGAAGAGTTTGATTTTTGAATTTAAATAAAAAGAAAGTTCCTTAAGTTTTTAAAAATAATGAGAGTTTTTACTATTGTAAATGTATTAAAAAGTTGGCTCCTTATTATTGACTGTATAACTGCCCGAAGCTCTTCTAGGGTTAATGCCGGTTTCAAGTCCGGAGAAAGGAGGAGAGTTGGACATGGTGTCAGCTACCCCATCCCGTAGGAAACAACGTTGACAAAGAAACGCCAACCAGAAAACACTTTAAACCATTTAGACTCTCTTCTGAAAGTTGAAGAATTTTCTTTTAGAAGAATTATGATTCTTCACGAAGAAAACCAAGATACTTCGGAAGTCACAAGACTGACACTCTTTCTAACAACCAGAACAACAATAATTATAGGTACACTAAATGTCCGGATAGTGTGGGGGACCAGAAGAACCAATTGAAACCAAACAATGACAGAGGGAAAAGTCGCAAAATCACTAAATATCAAATATGATAAAATGAAGAAACTAGCATTCAAGTATTGTATACCAGACCAATCAGTCAGACGCAAAGAAGCCAAGCCAACCATTGAGATTTAGGAACAGTGCAATGGGTGGGCAGAACACCTGGAAGAACTCTTGAGCAGACCAGCCCCACTGAATCCATCGGACATCAGAGAAGCACACACATACCTCGCTGAAGATGTCAAGCCACCAACGACTGGAGAAATCGGGATGACCATTAGACAAATCAAGAATAGAGGAGCAGCGGGACCTGATAATATGCAAGTCAAAGCACGGAAGTCACACATGAAAGCAACTGTGAACGTGTCGCACGTCCTATTCAGGAAGACTTGTTAGGAAGGACAAGTGCTACCGACAGACTGGAAAGAAGGATACTTCATCAAGATGCAAAAGAAAGGAAATCTGACCAAATGTGAAAACTACAAAAGCACCACACTATCATCGGTAGAAGGAAACGTTTTCAACGGAGTGTCACTGAGCTGGATGAAAGATTCAGTAGACACCCAGCCTCGACATCAATAGACCGGATTCCGCAAGGATCGGTCGTGCAAAGACCAAATCGTGACACCATGAATCATCGTTGAACAATCAACTGAATGTAATTCGTCACTATACTTCAACTTCCTCGACCGTGAGGAGGCGTTTGACAGCGTGGACAGGAGAACCTTACGGAACCTTCTTAGACGTTGTGATGTGAGTAGCTCAGAAGATCGTCAACATCATACAGAATTCATGCTACGGACCACGCTGCAGAGTCGTGCATAGAGGACAGCTGACAGACTCATTCAAAGTGAGGATCGGAGTCAGACAAAGCTGCTCACTGTCACTCTTCTAGTGGTTGACTGAATTATGAAGACTGACATCTGAGGGGAAGCACGGAATACAGTCGACAACCAGACGATTTGAACTTCTCAGACCACCTAGCACTTTTATCCCATACACAATAGCAAATAATGGTCAAGACTGTGCTTTGCTTATTCACCAATCACAGTTTTATGTTTATCGTGACTTATTGTTCGCTTTGTTGACTCATTCTTCTCATCCTGTAGTTACTATTCGATAAGTTATTTATGTCTCTCTTTTTCCTTGTTTAAGAGGCCGTATTGATTGTTTATTTTGAATACTATCGGTATTAACTTACGTTTTAGAAACAGATGAAATTTATCGAGCTATGTATCTTACTTATTCTGGCTTTGGCTAAGCTAAGACTCTGTGCTCGACAGTCAAGAGAATAGTTTAGAATTTCACCTGCAAGAAATTACTTCCTACAAACTTTCGAACAGTAAATTTGATATACCCACTGAAATGGCTTCCAATATGTACAATAAATTTGATGAGATTCCAGAGTTATCACCCCATCATATGGCAGATTGTGATGAAGACCAATTTTATAAGGATGAACCCATAACCAATAACCTAGAGTTATCTAGGTTGCGTGTAACCCAGTAGGAGAAGGAAATCGAACTAGAAATTTCACGTCTCCAGGGAAAGGAATGTTTCGGCTAATTAGTAAGCAACAGCTAGAATGCGATATTAATATGTCTGTAACCGGTGTCCAGGCATATGTGACACGTGACCTAAAAATCTCAATCTATGAATATTCACAACCTCATCAACCGATTTACCATCCCTCTCCAATAATTGGCGTCTAACCCCACTATTACTTACCTGGTGATTCGAGCGGATGCGAGCAATCTATCTAAGATGTCTGTGGTCAAATACTAGTAAATTACGTGTATCCTTTACCCTTAATTGCCACGTTTCGCAGCCGTAAAGTAGATCGAACTGCAAGCAATATACCGGTCCCTTAATTGATAGATGGATATCTCCCGTTCACCATAGGTCACATAAGTCGGTAAAATCCAAACGAGCTTTTTGAATTCGTGCACAGATTTCGTCAGACACCGACCCATTAGGGCTGATCCGACTTCCAAGATAAGTGAAGTTGTCGACACGTTCGAATACTTTACTCCTTATTCTTAGTTCAGGTGTTGAGGTAGGCCAGTCCTGAAGTAACAATTTGCATTTAGAGGAGAGAAACACATCCTGAACATCTTGGTATTGTTGCTCAATGCTGCCAAGAGACTCTGCATTTTATCAGGGTCTCCACCAGACAGGACTGTCATCTGCGAATTCTAAGTTGATAAGTGGATCTGATGGTAGGAGATCAATACCCACCTCAACATGACAAACATAATCCACAGTTGCGGTTGATCAGAATGATCTAAAAGTTGATACCGTTAATCAGCATTGTTAGCACTTCTGTCTGATGTTCTTCACTACCGATTTGTATTGGTCAAAATATCCATAAACTTAATGGTCGATGAGTCCCACGTCTAGATGAAACTATGTTAGGCGTATGACAGCCAGGGAATTGATTACCATTATGAAGAAACAAACTTCAATGGTCCAAACCCTCCAACGTTGTTGACAGAGTATTTGAATATTTAATTTAACTGATGCGTTTAACAGAAATAGGTATAATAGAAGTGTCATATGACTGAAAGTACGTAAATGTGATCAAAGTGACGGGGGTAGTGGTGGAATGAAAACTTATTTAATCCTCCTTGTAATTGGTTTGTAGTCATAGTAACACTGGCATTGGAATGTTTAGCAACTATTTTAGACTTGTAATTAACTCTACGTCACTTTACATCAATTTCACTGACTACAAGAAATCATTTGATAACGTGAACAGGATAACAATATGAAGGCTTCTTCGAGACCACGGCGTGTCTGAGAAGATAGTCAATGTCATACGGGATTCCTATCATGGATCGAACTGCAAAATCGTGCGTGGAGGACGGCTGACAGACTGGACTAAAGTAAAGACCTGTGTTAGACAACGTTGCTTGCTCTCACCTTTTCTCTTTTTCCTGATGACCCACTGGATCATGAAGAATTCAACATGTGGGGAAGGTATAGGATACAGCGTTGGAAGTGGATAGGACACACATTGAGGAAAACACCCAACTGCGTCACAAGACAAGCTCTCACTTGGAATTGTTAAGGCTAAAGGAGAAGTGAAAGACAAAAGATTATATTATTTCGAGAAATGAAGACATATATGAAAAGAATGAACAAAAATTGGATAGAACTAGAAGGGAAGACTCAGGACAGAGTTGGTTGGAGATTACTGGTCGGTGGCCTATGCTCCATTGAAGGTAACAGGCATAAATAAGTAAAATCCGAATTAGATGAGATAGCTCTAGTTCACATCGTATTACACTAAGTACACACGAGAACGTGTAGTGTATGTAAGCTATACCCAATAACATTAGGTCAAGGAACTAATAGAAACAAAGAGACCGACGAGGATGTGTTGGAAACGTGTACAAATAATCGATTTCATGTTCGATGTATTCGTTAAATACAAATGACTCAAAGAGGTTTTGTGCACTACAGAGGAGAGCGCTGTTTATGACAGCCTAACTTCTTTTTCTCGTTCTGATCGAATATTTGAAACTTTGTCCCGACAATTAATCGCCTAGTCACTAGGTTTTCTAGGGTCCTGAGAGTGCCCAAAGATAGCTTCGTTAACTGGAACAAGTTAATCTAAAAGAAAAGTTGTTGATTAATCAATAAGTCTAGCATTGACAGTAGCGCGTTTATAGATCAATGACACTTCTGAATAGCTTTGGGATGAAGGAAATACAAAAAACCCCATTAGTTAATTGGTCTCCCCCACTGATAACACTCAGATCCTAGAGAACGACCATATGACTATGTTGTCATAGAAAAGTTTGAAAAGCTGATTCGTGCGTGACAAATGATGGCTCCATAATAAGTGTCTTTAAACTTAAAACCTTTTCACACCCTCCCACCAAAGGATTTGTCTCTTGAGACATAAGTTTGGATGCTAAAGGAGCATTCTTGATTATGGCAAGGTACAACTCTTATCTTATTCCTTCTGAAACTGAAGGAAATAACAAGTAAATCTAAATGTTGTTATTAAATCAGAATGGTAGGTGTGTCAGTCTTCAATAATAAGGATAATAGGCTGATGGACTAGTGTTAATCCTCTAAGTTTGCCTTCCAGTGAATGTTCAACATCTCCTTGGAAATGTTCACTGATGTGGCTGATATCACTTGTTCCAGTCATTAAC